TGTACACAGGGTCCCAGTTACATCCAACAATAAAATGTATAAGAAAAACAGTAAGGAGGGTGAGGAGGCTCTGAGAGAGACAATATGAATCCAGAGAAGTTCACAGGTGGGACATGGGTGGAGCGTGGAGGAAGGTAAGACGTCGGTGGAGGAGCAACTGAGGAGTCCCACAAGGTAAGGCATTCCCATCCAGGTGAGTTCAGTAATAGAGATCCACAGGATGGCCCAAAGAATCCAGGACATGAGGCGCAGGAGGACCATGGTCATGAAGTAGGTATTGCTGCAGCACTGAATAAAGCAAGCCAGCAGCCTCATATAGTCCTGGTGGTGATTAGTGATGGCTGCCAGCTGTGGCTCGTTAACTCTGCCTCAGGAACCAGGGACCTGTGGAAGGAAGAAGCAGGAACCCCACAGTCACTCACACCTAGGGACTTTTTAGAGTTACCAGTTAGACTAACATGCGTGTTTTTGGTCTGTGGGAGCAAACCGTAATATCCGGAGAAAACCCACGCATGCATGGAAAAAACATACAAACTCCGCCCAGAAATACTTTATGTTTAACTAGAGAATAAGTATAATTTTCAACTTATACTCAGCACTGATAGATCACATGACATCTTCATTTCAAACTTTGCTATAAGTAGGCAACAGGCACGGCAGCCACCATGTATTCCTATAAAGAGTGACAACTGAGATTGTTTTAATCTCAGTTGTTTCTCAGTGTGCACATATCTGACATGAGTTTGCAGCTTGTAGAGAAGGGATACATTCTCCAAACTAAAGCACTGCAACACAACTTCTTTAAGGTAGACATTTTTTTCAGCTGAATCTGTTTGACCAGTTCTGTGGTTAAACTGGAAATCTTGGTTTTTCTAACCAAAGGTAACTGGCCCTGCATCTGCTGCCCCAGCAATTAATGAGATGGGTCTCAGGAGTCACTGTGGCAGATCCCCAGATAGAACTGTTCACTTTATCTCAGCCTACATGGAGCTGTTGCAGCTCCTACAGTGATTTAGTGCCTGGGTTTCCATGAAAGGTCATAACTTCCTGTACCACACTACAGGACCTTCCCTGCTGTATCCACCAAAGATTAATTGGGACTGACTCTTGATGCTCCACCACTAACATTAGCATTTTTCTTTTACAAATTCTTCTGACATTTTCACATGTATACTATTGTTTTCCTGCAGCTTATATATTGTGACACATTTCCAAGCCAAACAAAATGCACTCAAGTATTTTGGAAGTAGGGCAGCATTTTCTTTGATATTTATGTTTTTCATCATCCATCCAGGTTAGATTTATTTGTCACGTGCAAAATCAATACAAGGTCAACAATGTAATGAAATGTTTAGGAGGAGGAGAACTGTCCTGACTCACAAAAAAACAACAAAACAACAACAACTAGAAATATCAAATCATGCAGCAAATTCAATGGGTTGCAGGGGTCACTGGTGCCCATGTCCAGCTACCATTGTGCAAGAGGCGGGGGGATACCCTGGACGGGTAGCAAGTCCATCATAGAGTCACATCAAGAAAAACAACTATTCACACTGTCCAAAATTTTCAGTCAGGTCATCTGGACAGTTTCTTTTTTTTTTTCTGAAACGTTTCACCTTCCATCCAGAAGGCTTCATCAGTCAAGGGAACACACAACACAAAACTGATTCAAAACAGCTTACTCCAAAGTGGAACAAACCAGTTATGTTGGTGCTAAGATGGTGTCTTTGGCACACCCCCTCCTCCGATGCCGACCCTCTTCCTCGTCTACAGTCATGTCAAACTGGTTCAAAACCAAAAAAGTCCACGCTCAATAATCCAGGTATACAATCCAATTCACACTGTTGCTATTTATAGTTACCAATTAGCCTAACATGCATGTTTTTGGTCTGTGGGAAAAAACAAGAGTACATGTAGAAAACCCACGCATGAACAGAACATGCAAACTCCACCCAGACAGGTCCTCGGCCAGGATTCGATCTGGCGACCTGGCAACCTTCTCGCTAAGAGGAGGTAGCCCTACCAACTGCACTACCGGGCCACCATCTATGGTTTGTAATGTCTGTAATTTAAGGAGTACAATAATCATCATAAGGATATTGTAATGCAAGCTTTCATGATCTAAAAAAAAAAAAAAATCCTTGTTCTCCTCGAAAATTTTGTGTAGAGAAAAAATTATGTTTGTGTGTATGAGACACAACAGAAAGCAAGATCCAGCAGGATGGACTGTTTCTACAGTCAGCATGGCAGTCTCCCTACGTACATGAAGAATTTCATGGGGTGTTTGATTGCTGGAATACTTGAGCTTTAAAAATGTACACTCTTCTGGGGAAAAAAACCTGCATGGAAAACAGTTTCTCAGTCTCCCTGATGTTCTTTTAGAGATACGTGACTCTGCAAGTTTCAAGGTCAAAGTTAAAGATGGAGGTCTAGGCTCTGAGATTGTTGATAATAAACCTTTTTTCTATTGCAGGTCTAGAAAGAACAAGCATAAGGCGTAAGTGGTGGCAACACAAGTAGAGCGACTGTGTTGTCAGGTAGCTAGCTGGTACAAAGGTATTGACAGTTAGTCAAACATTCAATGAAGTTTACCTGACCAGCAATATCTCATTGACACATTAAACGTCTCCAGCACCCGACAGGGTTTGTTTTGGGTTTGAATGAAGCTGGGTGGTTTTATTGGTGATGGCCCTACATGTGGGGTGTACAAATGCCACAGTGGACCAATATGTGAGAATGCACACGTATTGTGAAGTTTCAAACTGTTAAAGACAGACCCCATTAAAGCAGTGTTGATGCATTGTGCACCATTCTTAACATAACCCCATGATATCTATGCACAAATATTGGTCACTTTACAAGACTTTACAAGTCTAGGTGGACAGATTGGACAACATCTGCAGCCAGTTTCTTTGGATCCGCTGTGGGACCGACCTTTACAAGAGATCCTGCCTACATCTATAACATCACTTAATGAAATGAGGATGAGTTACAACATTTCATTTCCCTTCGGTTAACAAAGTATTTTTGAATTGAATTGAGTTGAACACCCATGTGACCTTTGTGTATGTGTAGGGAGGCACCAAGGGGATATAATCCAGACAATGTTGTGAAGAAATACTGGTGCATTAATCCTGGCATCATGATATGTTGAACCATTTGGTATGACATCAAGTTTCCTTTGGTGGCGATTTTGGTAACCCTGATGGTACAGTCTACATCGGTGATTTCATGCATCCACACTCAATGATGAGTCCAGCTACAGGCAAGAGGTGGAACACCTGGAGAGCTGGTGCAAAGAGAACAACCTTCACATCAATGCGAAGAAGACAAAGGAGATGATTGTGGACTTCAGAAGGAACAAAAACATCTACACCCCCCTGAACATAAGAGGCTCTGCGGTGGAAGTGGTCTCCAGCTACAAGTACTTGGGTGTACACATGAATGGCAACCTCAGCTGGAGCAACAACACCACCAGCCTGATCAAGAAAGCTCATCAGAGACTCTACTTCCTCAGACGGCTGAGGCGAGCTGGTCTGGGAAGCTCAGTCCTCACCTCCTTCTACAGGTGTGCAGTGGAGAGCATCCTGTGCTCCAGCATCAATGTGTGGCATGGAGGCTGCACAGCTGCAGAAAGAAAAGCTTTGCAGAGAGTGGTGAAGGCTGCACAGAAGATGTTGGAATCAGCCTCCCCACCATCACAGACATCTACACCTCCAGATGCAGGAAGAGGGCCACCTGCATCATGAAGGACCTCACTCACCCAGCACACACACTTTTTGCCCCACTCCCTTCAGGAAGGAGGTTGAGGAGCATTAAGTGTAGAACCACTAGACTGAGGAACAGCTTCTACCCTGAGGCTGTAAGACTCATGAACATCTAAACAGAATAATCACTGAGAAAAACCACATCATGTTGCTGCTGATCTGTTTCATGTTGCTGCTGATCTGTTTCAATGTTGATGTGTTCATGCGTGCACATCTGCTCACACAGACTCATGTTCATGTTTGTGCTGATGTTCAATGTTTTATGTTATGAGTGCTTAGTGTATATTTAGTTGATGTTTTTCTTAGTTCATATCTTAGATGTTATTACTGTTTTTCTTATACATTTTATTGTTGGATGTAACTGGGACCCTGTGTACATAATTTCGCTCCACCACATGTACCACATGAGGTGCGAATGACAATAAAGAAACTCTGACTCTGATGTCTTACCCCTCATGAGACAATGCCCAGGTACAGCCTTTCAGCAAGATAAAACCCATCATCACATAACACGTCACGTGTCACGTGTGTTCATTGACAGCCTGCATTCTATGATTTTTCCTCAAACATTTGTGGGATCAGCTTGAACTTCAACCAATCTCAGCCCTGATTTGCTAGATCTCAAGGGCTAGTTACAACAGCTGAAGTTGTACTTAGTACTTGTACTTGTAGTATTTGCCACACTGTCATTGATTAAGGTGCAGGAATGTACCTAAATAGGCAGATTAGATCCGTTTATGGTACCGACATGGTAATTTGAACAGTTGCACTTTTCTGTATGTTTTGTTTACACATTTAAATACTTTTCTTCACTGTAAAGTACATTTTTTGTACTATTTGGTATAGTTAATTTGCTCTTTGACATGTAAATGGTCACAAATAGAATATGTATTTGCAAATCATGTAAACAAACTAACCAAAATAATGCATAGCATCTACACTTAAACTGCTTTCACACAAGGTATCGTTAGTTAAAAACATTGAAAAAAAAAAAACAGGTTCAGACACCAAGTACTTAAAATAAACGTCAGCATAGCCACGTTATTTTTAAAGTATTGTTCAGCAAACATGGTTTTACAATTCAGTCAACGGAACAAAACATATCTGTCATGACCAGATGTGGTTTTGGAGTTGAACCCAATGTTTTTAGGCAGAGGTGGAGAATTCAGAGGTAAAAATAAGGAAATCAGTTTATTAAACAAAACAAAAGGCTGACGTGGCATCAAAACTCACAGGGAGTACAGGAGCAGGACGACACGGAGAGATGCTGGCTTGGGGAAACAGACCATGACAACCTTCACAGGATAATCCACGAACAGGGACACACAAAATATACAAGGATACTAACGAGGGGATAATCACAAACATCTGGGGAAGGACAATGAGGATCAGGTGAAAGAGGCAGCAGAGCTGACGTGAGCAGAGATATGCAGGGGAAACTGGAAACCCAGGAAAAACAGACTCGGAAACTAAAATAAAAATAATCACAAGTAGACACAAACATCACAAAACACACATATCCTCACAACATCTGCCTGTCCATGAAATACAGAAGCCGTTAACTCGAACAGCTCAACTTTTGTTTTGACATAAAACTACATTAGAGATCATGTCCCACATCCACATCCACTTCCAACTTTTGATTCTGCTTTATGGTTGAAGCTTTGTTCATGTCTGGAGGAGGAGTCAGTTCACTGCATGCTCATCAAACCACACACACACACAAACATAAAATATACAGAAAACACAGGCTTTTAATAAGAAAAAGCTCTCTGGGATGATTTACAGTCCATCTAATGTAATGACTATTAAACACACATGAAGAAGTCTTTCGGATGAAAGACGAAATGTTTCTTTTAATTGTTTGTTTTTGAACCCGTCCAGAGGACCAGACTTAACTGTTTTAGATTTTTCTACCTGGATTATTGCGCACGCATCAGGAGACTTTGCACTGACTTCCATTCATTTCTATAGCCTAACCCTGACCCATAAACAATTCATACGCATGCACACACACTAGGTTATCTTGTTTATGAAAGTAGTTCTACATAGACGAAGCAAAAATATTCACAGGGTAAGAAGGTAAGAAATATTTATAACAAACAATAGGATTTTTTGTTCATGTTGGGCTGCATAAGCTACACTATAAGCACAGTTTAAATTGCAGGGCGTGTTTTGTCCATTGATAATAACACCAAGTAATCAACATGCACATTTGAACAGAAACATCTATATTATTGCATCTTTGTAAGGAACACAGAAACAAGTGTATATTGTGAATTTAAAGCCTTGCAATAATGAGATGACCTTAGGTTGACATCAAAGAGTCTGAGATTGACCAGTCCAGTTTTATCTCCATCTTTGATCAGCTGCTATTGATCCCCGCTGCCTGGTAAATGAGCAGGGGCATTTATTCTGTAGCCTCTTTCATGGGATATAGATCAGTTAACTGGGGTCATAAAAGATGGCCTCCTGGTGAGATCTGACTGAGGAGGATAAAGTGATCAAATCTACCTTCTTTAGGATGAGAAACACTTTTCTGTTTCATAGGTGCATGGGTTCAAATGCTGTCCAAAGACAATCTTTAAACGTAGTTTCCATTGTTCATGTGACTCGTAAAAAGATTGCAATTGTTACATCTAAAACTTGAACACAATTCTATATCTATCTGTATGTTCTTGATAGATATGTTTAGATTCCAATATATGGAATGAGAGCCTGTTTCATGATACCACTTCACTCTACGATTTATCAAAGTGACCTGACTTAGAGAAAGTTTGGAAGACGTCTTGCGGTATGAAGTCTATCACCCAAAAGCTTGTTTAAAGAAAAAAAAGTGACAATTTATTTTTACTGTCCGAGTGCAAGACAATAAACTAAACAGCAATCATTTGTGTTCTTCTCAAATATGAACTGAAAACAGCAAAAATAACTTTTCTTCTGAAAAATAAAATCGACTAATTTAGGACAAAAGGGAAAATCCAAAAGAAACAAAATACACAATTCCAACTAACTAAGAGAAGAAACTAAAACAAGTGGCTCACCCATGAGAATTGGCTACATAAGTCACAACATAACAGAACCAAAAGCAAGACAACCTTAAAACCACAGTTCAGCATAATAACCATACACTGGCATACTGCACATGAAGCACAGCACTGACTGATGGGGAGGCCCCGCTTTTAAAATCTCCCTTTCATTCATCTGGCCTCCTCATTGGCAGCTGCTGTTGGATGGGCGGTGCTGTCCACTTCCCTTCCAGTCAACCTGTCCATCTCTGGACAGGTAAGCCTCGGAAGCTTTGGTCCGGAGTCCACCAGTAGAGGGAGGCAGCCAACCAGCAGCTGGAGATGAACTACCAGGAGGAAATTCCTCACATGGAAAGGCAGAAAAAGAAAGAGAAAGGCGTAGAGGTCATAACAGGGAGGCAGGGCAAGGAGAAAATGAAGAACGTATTGGAAAGATGTGCAGAAACAGTCCAGGCCCAGTGCAGGTGCAGAGCTGAAAGCGAACACACCCACAGACAGTCTGCTAGATCAGAGTACAGAAGAATGCAACAACACACAGGCTCTCAGATTTAAAAGAGAGAGAAGAAACACTAGAAAAAGACGTTCACCTTCTGGTGGAACAAGCACTGAAGATGGTGGAGTAAAGGAATCGCTGCAAAGCCGTCCACCTCGTTATACAGCGATGGAGACAGAGTTGCATTCAGGCTTAAAAATTCTGACCCGGACCCGATGGATTAACTGTAATTACAGGCCCGAACCCGAAAAACAAACAAAAAAAACCAACTTATTTTTTCATTAAGCTTTAACTGCTTTTGTGAGCAAATCAGTTTGACATGCTATTTAAAAAAAACGTATTTCAAAGGAAGATCTAAGATTTCTTGTTTCACCAAATGGATATTAACAAAACGAATAGCCTAAAACGTCAACTCGAAAAATAGGCTATTATACAGACGAACAAAAACATTTTTAGAGCTAAATTATTTGGAAAAATAGGGCTATTGTAACTGAACGCGCTGCTCGCTTCGGCTGTTGTAGATGCATCTACTTCAGAGACGCAGGCGGCTGGTGATCAGCTGATCCATCTGAGCTGGACATTTTGTTTTTTTACCTCTTTCAACCAGTCAGACCTGCCTCCTCCTCTACAAGTAGATTAACACAATTTTATATTGTGCATTCTTATCTAGTTTTCTTTGCGCTGAATGATTCGTAAAATCGCATCAAAGCCTGATACCGGCGCATTAAGCACATTATTATGGCTGGGCCGGGCTTCGGGCCTGGGTTAGAAATGACAGCTCGACCTCAACTGGCTCCTCTCAATGTGCAGGAGCAGTGGCTCTACTCCGAGTCTCTCCCAGATAACTGAACTTCTCACCTTATCTCTATGGGAAATGTCCAGCTACTCTGCGGAGAAAACTCGTTTCGTCCACCTGTATCCATGATTGCATTCTTTCAGTCGCCACCAAGCGTTTGTGGCCATAGGTGAGAGAAGGAACAGACCGACTGGTAAACAGAGAGCTTCGTCTTACTGCTCAGTTCCCTCTTCACCACAATGGACCGGCACACACTCCGCAATAACGAAGATGCTGCACCAATCCGTCTGTCAGTGTCCCACTCCATTCTTCCCTTAAAGCTATGTCTTCAAGAAATTAGAGCTCAAGCAAGTCATTTCGTAAGAGCAGGGGCTTAAACCTGGTGTTTCAAATTCAGCCCTCTCCGCTTGTTTGGGTTTACCAGGTCAGCCTCCTGTTTAACAGGATGCAGTTTCTAGTCTTGTGTTGGTAATTGTTTGCAAACTGCAAATTATAAATCTGCAGTTTGCAGCAAGAGATTTAGGGCCAGGGACATAATTAAAACAAAAATAAGCTCCAAAGGTTAGAGTTCATTTTACTTGTCCTGTGAATATTCATTAATTTAACCTCTGGAGTGTGCAGAGATTATTTGAAGCTCTAATGTGATTAGAATATTAATAAGTGTCTTTTAAAGTCTAAACTCTCAGGGAACACACATTCACACTGAGAATTTCATGTTAAATTCATGAACCACTTAGTGATCTGTCTTGGTAAAACCACTTACTCCTTCCAGAGACTTTATCCTCATCATTCTCTATGAGCAACCAAGTTTAGAAAGATTATATCCTCCTTATTCCTATCCCCCATGGTGCTTTGCGCAAATTATAGGCACGACTTCCGGCGCGGACAAGAACCGGCATTTGTTTATGTGCGAACAGGACTATCTAATGTAGTTCCTCTAAGCATTGTGGATTTAATTTAAACATGTGGGAACACCACCTGCCGGAGCTCAAACAGGACAATATCATGATACCGCTGCCTGCTGAGGATGAGGGATGAAGGACGACCTGAAGAAGCAGCTGCAGATTACATCTACTTGCATATTTAACTACTTCATTGAGTCGGTTGCTTCTGACGGTGAAGCGATGAACAACCTGAAAAGCTCTGAGGCGTATTAGTATTTACAGTAATAAGCTTGATCGTGTTTTGTTAAAAAAGGTGGGACACAATCTTATCTACCTTAAAGCAGACGTAGAGCCCAAAGTTTTAAAGTCCTCCATCAACGAGCTTGGGTTAATTGCAGAGAAGATCTTAATACCGAAGACGAACAAATACTATAAAGCTGTGACCTCCATACTCTTGAAATCATACCTGATCTTCTCGTCACTGTTTTCAATCCTTCTGAGGATCCGGCGTCTCTTCTCCGGTGGTTTTTTTTGTAGTCCAGACACAAAGTAGGATGCAGGTTTTCCTCCGTCAACCGTTTGTCAACAAAGTAAAATGAGGTACAGCGTTTTGGGCGGTCTCTTCAAGTTCACATTTTTCATCCACATTCTTCTTAATTCCTCATCTGTAGGTAGGAGATATAAATTATACCACTCTTCACAGGAACACTCTTTTTGTTTTGGGTCCGTGTTCAAAACTTTGTTGTTGTAGCCACTGATTTAGTTTGGTCTGGTTGTTCGTGCAGCCGTGAACACAACAGGTACCTGAACTCAGCACGGCTATTTTAGTAAACTTTAGGGTTGTTAAATGAATGCAAATAAAACAAAAACAGAGTTTTATTGGCTAAACTGAATGCAAATTACTTTCAAATAAACCACGGTCCGTGCTCCATTATCATAGTTAACCAACGTTTGCTGCTACTTCCTGTCTGACAGGAAGTTGTACCCAGAATCATTTATACAATAGATCCCTAAAGAATAAGGTGGATAATTTAGGCACAAATTCATGGCAACCCTGCTGTGATCAGTGCTGTGAGCTCACACTTTAACTTTTTATTAGGTAGAGACTTTTTAGTAGTTAAAAAAAAAATTAAAAATCAAAACAAACAAATAAATAAATAATATATGAGTTCTGCCAAACCACGTACAGGGAAGTAATTGTATTTATTTTATTTTATTATTACTATTCAAAAGTTTTATTCATTTTTTAAAACAAAACAATTCAATATACAATAAGAAATACAATCACAAATAAAATGAAAGGCAGCAGAAAGAAGAAAACATCTTATATTATCAATTATACTTCTCTTTGTGGCACAGAAGATTTTTTACTGGCTTGTGCTTCATCCTATGTGCCTGACCACCCTGTGGCTTTGACCCACATTTTGGTCTCATATGTCGTGCTGAGAATCCTTGAGACGCTGATTAATTTCCCATGAATTCCATTTATTCCTCCCAGGCCGTTAAGTCATTATTGCAGACTTACCTTGTGCTGGAAGAAGTGAGGCTGCATTTGAATATTTCATTATGGCACAACAATATGTTAAATATGCCACAGGATATGATTTATACAGGTCACAGAAGACGTTCATACATTTCTGTGCCAGGGTGTAATTGCTGCAGGGTGTGATCAGTGACTTAAAATAGGGACGTAACGTTATATGATAAATTATCTACAGTTAGTACAATGGAAGCTTAAAGAAAACAGCCTGTCTTCAGTTTTTTAATTTTAATTTTAGATGTCTGATCAAACAAGAATAGCGCTTTCCATAAGGAAACAGCAGATGTAAAAAAAATGGCCTTGATTGATCTTTGCCTCTTTAAACTGATTAGTAGTTTGAGAGCTTTGCCGCCTTTAAAGAGCTACATTTAGACACAGGCTCCTTGAATGCAACAAAATTTATTATTTATTTGTCGCACATCACGCAGCATTTAGCCTGCCTGTTTTTTCAAAGCCCATGCATTGGTTAATTTATTTTTAGAAAAGATTGTAGAAAAACAATGAAAAGAAATAGATTCAAACCAGTCAAATAAACAAAATACAATTAAATTGACATAATCTGTCCCTCTGTCAGCGTCCTTTGTGTTTTTGTGTCTTTCTTTTTCTTTTTCTTCTCCTTTTATTTGTCATTCTGTTCTAGGGCCCAAAAAATCCGACCCGGACCCAGCCCCAGCCCGTAGCTGTCATTTCCAAACTCCACCTGACCTGACGAATTAACAGTAATTGCAGGTCCGAATCTGAACCCACCTACCAACACACACACAATATTATTAATTAAGTTTTGACTGTTATATAGTTATTAACGGTCTGCGGATGTGCACGTCTAAAAAAGGGGGCAGAAGGTTGGAGCTGAGGGGTGTTTGTACTTTCAAGGCCATCAAAGTGCATTAAATCCCTCTCTGACATGTCTGCTTTGGGATCTCACCTGTTTGGGTCATCGGCCGCGTGCGTCCGTTGAGTGCAGCGGCTGATTGAACGTCCATTTGGGCGATGGATCGCTTCCTGACAGTACAGTCCCATCTGAAGTTTAACTGAACTTTTTACCTCTTTCAAGGCCGGTCAGCTCGCGGTGAAATGGCCACGTGTGGCTGATGAAGGTATGGCAAGTCATGTAGCCATATAATTGAACCGCGGCTGATCCGCTGATGCAATTAAAAGCCCGACACCGACCCGGCCCTCCCATCCAGCACATTATCATGGCCCGGCTTGCCCCACATTTGGGTCGGGCTTCGGGTCTGTGTTAGAAATGACAGCTCTATTCTGTTCCTTATGTTTGACTCTGTATTCTCTGTCATTCTCCACTCATCCTCAGTCTGTCTCTCCAGTCACTAACCATCCACACCTGTCTCTAATCAGCAACCTTCCCAGGTGCACTGATTACCCACTCTTCCTCGGCCTTATTTAAACCTCTCCTCAGCACTACTCAAACGTCCGCTCATTGCTCTGTATACCTACAGACATACTGGTCCTGTCTGTTCCTGTTCTTGCCTGATGTTCTATCCTGTATCTGTTAATCCGTTTACCCATTCTGTCCAGTTCCTGCTCGCCTGATAACCAGTTTTACCCTATTCCTGTTCGCACCATGCGTGTAAGTTTTTGCTGCCTCGTCAGCCTTTTGTTTTGTTGTTCTCCCCCACTCACCATCACCAATGACGCTTCTAACTCCTTTGGGATTCCTCGACTTCCTCCCCATACCTGAAAAACAGAAAGAGGAAGCAAGCAAATTGATCTGTACATTTATTCCTCTTAAAATACCTAAACAACATACTCACCTGATCTACGTTCCCTTTAAGAGGCTCTGCTTGGACACTGTAAGTAAACTTGACTTGCCGTTTTATTTTGTGTGATCGGTTCTCTCTTGGGCAGCACGGTGGCGCAGTTGGTAGAGCTGCTGCCTCTCAGCGAGCAGGTCGCCCTGGTTCAAATCCCCTTCTGGGTGAAGTTTGCATGTTCTATCTTTGCATGCGCCGGTTTTTCCTTGGTACTCCAGTTTCCTTCCACAGACTAAAAACATGCATGTTAGGCTGATTGGTAACTAAATTGTCTCTAGGTGTGAGTGAGAGAGCTCATGCTTTAAAATGGGAGTTCAGTGATGGAGTTAAAGTCAAAGCAGTCTGCTCCTTAGATAAATTGTGTTAAATTATTTTTAAATATGAATGTTTCTGTTCAGTGCCCTGAGACAACTTCTGTTGTGACTTGGCGCTATATAAATAAACTGAAATGAATTGAAATTGAATTGTGTTTGTCTCGTTTGTCCGTGTCCCTGTGATGGACTTGCGACCTGTCCAGGGTGTTCCTCTTGCACAGTGATGGCTGGACATGAGCACCAGTGACCCCCGCGACTCGAAAACGAAGAAGTGGTTAAAGATAATGAATGGATAGATGGATGGATGAATGGATGGATGGATGGATGGATGGATGGATGAATGGTTTTCTCTTTGTCAGTCTACACTACTCTGGGTAAAGCAACTAACCCCTCATGATACTAAACAACAAAAACCATTGCAACGCAGCTTTTGAAAGCACCAGTAAATGCAAACTTGGACCCTTTGTTAATTTTTTTTACCAACTTGTATGTGTGCACACATTTATTTACAGCGTCAACATTATTGCTGATGGTTTCCAAGCACGTTGTCTCCTCAGAAGAGCAGCAGCTTGCCTACTTTCACACAGCCTGTCAGGATAGTGAGCATTTATCTTGTC